TTAATCAGATCGGTGATTAATTAACCAGCAACACCCCTGAGCTGCCGCGCCGAGGCAGCAATTCTTGCGTTACGGATTTGGGGAGACCCTTCCCCAAGCGCAGCGTGTTGTATGGGAGAAGCATTGCATCCGCGTTAAATTTTTTTTTTTCCCCATTTTCTTGCAGAAGCACGCAGCAAAGGGAACGCGCCGGCTCGCAAACCTCCCCGCGGCGCTGCAGAAATCTGCGCCAAAGGGAACGTGACCGCCAGCACCGCGTCCCACGTCCAGCCTGGCACCAGCGTCACCCTCTCCTGCCACCCGCAGCCCCTGCCCCACGCCGGGCGGTGCAGGGCTGCCGTCTTCATTAACGGCTCTGTCGTTAGTAACTACGGCAGCTCAGTGAGCACCGAGTTCCGAGTCCCTACGTATGGCAGACATACGTTTACGTGCAAAAGAGTTTGTGAATACAAGAAAAAACTCATTTGTGGGATCGATATAAAATCTGGAAGTAAGGAGAATTGAGTTATTCCTTGGGTTGTAATTTTTTTTTTAATTTTTCAATTATTCCTTGTTTTTTTCCTGGGGAATCTCTGAGATGGGTGTTAGGAACTGACAGCAGGTGGCCTTTTCCAGAAAAGGTGCCGTCTTTTGGTGGCTCTATTATATTTAAAATATTCCTGGCTGGGACTGTGCCGTGCTGTTATTGATAAACGGAGAGATGCTGAATAAAACCGTCAGCTCAGAGCAGATGTCCTACTCCCTCCTCTTCCCCCCCAACACCCACCAGTCTCTCTGGGACACAGGGGACTTGAGAGAAAAATGCCAAGGAGATTTCAGATTTTCTTCTAGCCTGCTGCAGCAGCATCAAAATATGTCATCTGCTGTATCAGTGCTTTTTTTTTTTAAAAAAAAAACAAAAAAAAAAACAACTGGTTGGTTTCTGTGGTGTTGGCTCACTGGGGTTCCACTCAAGCGTCAGAGGTCTCCACAGCCTGCATAGATCACACACTTGGCCGTGATGATATTTTCCACCTATAAAAAATCATTAGCCTGAATATTTTCCCTATAAATTATTCAAAAAAACCCCAAAGCAATAAAAATAGCCAAACCTAGCATTTCTTAGAATGTCTCCTATTAACATCTTTAAGGAAGAAACCCATAAAAATATGTTTCAGATCCTCCAGACGAGCCAAGAAACGTATTGTGTATCCAGCACGGGATGGACGGGCATCCCACCTGCACCTGGGACAAAGGCAGGCCCACCTACATCAACACTACCTACGTGATACAGTGAGTAACACCGGGACACAGGGTCTTTCATACCTATAATCATACCTTAGAGCTGCGGGTTGGGTTGGTTTGTTGGTTTTTTGGGGGGTTTTTTTGGGTTTTTTTGTTGGGGTTTTTTTGTGTTGTTTTATTTTTGTTGTTGGTGGTGGTTTTTGGTTTTTTTTTACACCAATCATTGAAGATTTACCCTTACCAAAGCCCAGGGAAGAGCTGGTTTCTGAATAACTTGTCCCAAGGCTGCCATGACCACTGAAGCCCAGTGGTTAAAGCCCCTTGACATCTGGCTCCCTTTGGGAAATGGACGGTTGGCAGGGGAATTGGTCTGAAAACAGCTGCTGCCATCCCGGGGTGGATCTCCTCTACTTACCGACTCAGTGGTCAGCAGTGCCCGCACCAGCAAACCTGCTACCGGAGCTGCTGGCTGTCTTGGAATGTAGCTAAGGAGACGGAGAGGGACCTTGCTTGGAAATGTGTTATTTTTGCTGCCTGTTTTAGACCCAACCTGTATTTTTGTTCTCTATGGTTTGGCTGAGCCTTCCCTGAAAAAAGAGCCTGGAGACTTCTGCAGCAAACTGGGGAAGGAGCACAGGCTCCCTAGAGCCCATGGAGGCGTGTTAGGAGAACTTTGGGTTTTGGGAAGCCCCGTGAGTAGGAGGAACCTTATTAAAAGCTCCTATTCCCTGGGTAGAATGAATTAATTTTGCCCTTTGCAAACCGCTGGGTAGGCTGAACTACTCCCCATTTGTTTCCAAGGTGCTGCACATTGACCATCTCCTTGCCCTGCTAGGCTCACTCTTCATCACGTTCTTCTTCACGTTCTTTCTTCTTCTTTGTCGTCGTCGTCGTCATCGTCGTCCTTGCCCTGCTAGGCTCACTCTTCATCATGTTCTTCTTCACGTTCTTTCTTCTTCTTCTTTGTCGTCGTCGTCATCGTCATCTTCTTTGTCTTCGTCATCATCCTTTTGTTTTTCTTTGTCATCGTCTTCTTTGTCATCATCGTCGTCTTCGTCGTCGTCGTCTTCTTCACCTCCGTCACCTTCACCTTCTTCTTTGTCTTTGCCTGCTTCTGTTGGCCAAGGTATCACCAACTTTCTCATCAGCTTGTAGAAAGCTGTTGCTGCTCTTTACGCAGAGGGAGACCATACGGGTGATTTGCAGAAGAGCAGGGAAGGGTGGATGATGAGTCCTGCGAGCGTTGTAACCCAGAGACGTTGCGGTCCTTACATGTCAGTTATTAAATATATTGCAAAACACAAAACATCAGCCTGGAGCAACATGATACAATCGTCTGTGATTCAGGTGGAAGGAAATACGCGGAGAAGCTAAATGCAGTAGCCCAGGCAACGGGCTGACTGACAGATAATGAAAAGCTGTGTTTGAAGTCATGCGGTCTGACCATTCGACTGCAGATAAATTACATTTTTTAATCCCTAATGTATGTAAAAAACAACAACAACAACAACAAAAAGAACCCCAAATCCATCATCCCCCTAAACTCCGTGTACCAACACCTATTCTCATTCACGGAGACACGTTAGGTAACCAGTACCAGGCAACCATCACACCATTTAAAGGAACCCACTCACATCCTTGCAGCTCACTAGAAACCCAGAAGCATTTCCTTTGCCTGCAACTAAACACAAAAAGCGTTATAACACCTTTACTACTGATTCAGCCAGAGCAGTGTTTACTGCAACCACCGTGTTTCAGCAGATAAAGGAGATATTTCACGGAGCAGATGACCTACCCGGCCGTCAATACAACGGTCCTCCCTTGCCAGCGAACCTGCAGGGAGAGCATTAACCCAGAGATTTCCTCCTCTTCCAGGCTATCAAATGGAACGAATGTCTTACATGTTTCAGAAGAAAGTCTGAGTCAGGAGTCTGGCTCGCTGGCTCTGAGCAAGCTGAATTTTGACTCTACTTACACCCTTGTGGTTGCTGCCTCCAATGAGCTCGGAAGCGCTTCTTCACAGCCGCTGGTGTTCACGTTAATCGACATTGGTAAATGCGTGACTTACCGCCTTTCCGTGGCTCCCAGCCCTTTAGAAAGACAAGAAAACATTTCAAGAACTTCCTTGTTTAATCCTCTCCAAAGAAGCATCCATCCAGCCCAAACCAGTAACTCCATTTTCCATGAAACTAGTAACTCAATTTCCCACATAACCAGTAACTCCATTTTCCATGAAACCCTCCCATTTCGACCCATGCTGCCTATCTGAGCACCGTTTCCTTGTTTCTCTTTTTGCTGCTAGTGAAACCACATCCTCCCGACTTTTCAGTGGAATTTGAAAATTCTTCTGCCACCAGCTGCACCCTGGTTTGGCAGGACGAAGCCCCAGCGCGGCGCTGCAGGCTGAGACACCGTCCCCTCCCCGGGCACTCCTGGAGCATGGTAATCCTCTTCCCCAGAGTCTGGGACATTCTGACCCTTGGAGGTTGCTTTAATATTCTTATTTTTTACTAGCAATGCTTTGTCCGAATTTTCTCTCTGCTCTCTAGCATCATATTTAAGAAAAAATGTTGGTTACTGGTCAAAAATTATCATTGATCTAGAACTGAATGAAGGTAAAACACTGCTCCTATAAACAACAGAAATAGTTCCCCTTATGCCAAGCATCGTATGATGCACCGAAGGATCAGAGTTTATGTCTGACCCGCCACTTCTTTGAAATCTGGTCATATCTGCTCATCGCAGCTCATGGCTACTCCAGTTCCAAAGGTCTGAGATGCTGATTGGAAAGCTTTGCTTTTATTTTGAGGGATGAAAGAGATGCATTGCTTGGCCTTTAGTAAAACCCATGAGCCGTAAATTAGTTATCTTCACATAACGAGAGGAGGGATTTTCCTGACGAAGGACTGCAAGCCTGGTGATTCATTGCATCATTTTTTGAGTTATTGAAGTTGCCTCAGAGCAGGGTTTTCCCCCTTGTTTGAGACGTGTTTTGGGTTTCCTTTGGGCATTGGTAATTCAGCCTGTTGTTGTCTTCAGCTTTTATTTCCTTAAAGTTCAGGTTGTCCTTTTGTCTTCACTGGAGGTTGAAAGCTTGACAGGTGGGAAACACCGTCTTGATGGTCTGGAGCCCCACACGACCTACGAGTTCCAGCTCAGCTGCAGAACCCACCCTGAGCGAGGGCTGTGGAGCGACTGGCGCACGCACCGAACCCGGACCCCCGAGGCAGGTAACACCTTCTGAGGAGCGGGACATTCAGCTAAAAACGCTGCTGGGCTTGGTGGCTGGTTTGCAGAGTCTCTGTAGGTCCAGAGCCAGAGCCAGCAGGGATGTCCCTTGGGTAAGAGAATTGCTTTTTTCATGAACATGAATGGAAGCCAGTCTGGTTTCTTGCAAAACAGGAATGTTGAGAGTTCCCCAAGAAGGTCTGAAGGATAACAGATTGCCCAGGGAGGTGGTGGATGCCTCATCCATGGAAACATTCAAGGTCAGGTTGGATGGGGCTCAGGGCAACCTGATCCAGTGGAAGGTGTCCCTGCCCATTGCACGGGGGTTGGACTAGATGACCCCCATGGTCTCTTCCAACCCAAACTATTCTATGATTCTATTTTTTTTTTTTTACATTAAAGTTTGGGGGAATTTTTCCCGCATTGCCCAGAGCTGTCGTGCCCTTCCACATCCTGACACAGCTGGGAAAGGCAGAAACACTTGTGCAGCTTAGCTGGGGGCGGGGGAAGTACTGGTTCACATCTAAGCATTTTACTGAATTCCTGCCACAACTGCAAACTGGGGTCAGGACAACTGCCCGTGACCCTCTAGTACCACCGAACCCCAGCGTTGGCGGCATGTCGCGGGTCCCCAAGCTCCCTGATGGTTTGCAGAGGAGTTGGGGGAATGGCCAGGAAACTGCCAGGATTCTCCATCCTGCCGGTTTGAACAGGACGGTTCAATTTTGCCAAGATGTCTTTTCCCAAGCAGAGAAGTTATTTAATCTGTGGAGCTGCTGGAGACCCCCAGAGCTTCAGAACCCAGCCAGGCGTTCAGGAGGGAGCAATCCCAGGGGAATTTGGGGGGCAAAGCGCGTTTCTGCCCCAGTGGTCAGCACGGCCACCTCCAGGGACCCGTGGCACCAACCCGAGGGCAATCCTGCTCGTTTCTGCCAACGCTGGCTCCCAACCCCCTCTGAGCTGCACGAGCTCACATGCTGCCAAACTTTTGGTCCTTACGAGAGAAGAAGGTTGTGATTCACCAAGATGTGTCGGCTGCTTTGGCATCCCCTCCTTTCATCTCCTGCTTGGCTTGCATTGCTTTTTGTCTTTTTTTTTGATGAATTACTCTGAGCTCCTGGGCTGGTGCTGTGGTTACTCACGCCGTGCACCACGACCGACAGCGGCAGTTTCTGCTCGGAGCATTGATTGATGCAGAAGGTGTGAACCTCTCCTTCCCTCCCACTCTTCCTCTCAGCAGCGTTCGCAGCCTCCTCGCCGCACGCGGGCTCATCACCCCTCTGGCCTTTTGCAAATTCAGCAAATTCACCTTTTCAACGCGAATTTTTTTTTTCCTGTTTCTCAAACCCTGACTTGCCACAAAACTTGCTTTATGCAAACACTGTTCATAAGGGAGTTGGTTTCTTTTGGGCTTTTTTTTGGTTTTTTTGCCAGTTAATCCATGTGGTTCACAGCTGAAATGAACTTTAAAATCCGAGCTGGATTCCAGCAGATCCAACCCCATATTTTATTTTTTCATGCTTTGAGCGTGCCCCTTCCTTCCTCGCTCCCAGCGAGCGTGCTCTGGTTTTATTTCTTCTGTGGCTCCTGCTTCTTGCTTCTATCCCAGTCGCTCTTTGTGGTTAATCCAGGACAAACAGCTCCCAACATTCTGGGCACTGAGGATTTTTTCTGTCTTTGAATACAGCAAATAGCAGCTGGGCTTGTGGAGGAGCGGACTGCTGCTCGGGTCATCAGCAACAATCATTAATTTGTAATTTGATGGGTTCGTTTTGCTCAGGGACCTTGAGGAACCGAGCGGCGTTAGCTTTGGTCCCGTTGGCTTTGTCTCTGGTTCTGAGCTGTCGCAGCACACTGTTCACCCGTTTCTGCAGCCGGCAGTTTGGTTTGAGGTTATTTTGGAGGGTTTGTTCAGGGACTGTCAGGAGAACCGTGGAAAGAAGGAGGGGTCTGTGCAGCCTCTGATGAGGTCTCACCCAGCTCCTACAGACATTCATTGCCCAGAGCCAGGTAGCGAAATCATGGAATGGTTTGGGTTGGAACAGAATCACAGAATCACGGGATGGTTTGGGTTGGAAGGGACCTCCAAGACCATGAGGTTCCACCCCATCCTGCAGATCCCCCAGACCCACCACCTGCAGCTGCCCCTTGCGTTAGGATTGACGCAGCCAACCCCACAGACCTGGACTAACCTCAGCTTCCATGGAAGACAAGAGCTGATGCTGTCCTGTCGGCGTGCAGGACCCACCCCATTTCTCCAGGGCAGGACAAAGCCAGGAGCAGAGCAGAGCCCTCTCCGGGGTGTACAGCTGCTTCTCTTCATAAGCATCATCCTCATGCTGCTGAGCTCCAGCTGCAACCACAAACGTCGGTTATTACATATTGAATCCTTTCAGAGACATTTCAAATCTGCAGTTTTAATTCCTTCGTGGTTTTTCCCCCCTTCACCCACCCCACGTCTCTGTCGGTGGCTCCGAAGCACAGCCGCTAACGCCGCTCCCCTTTCCCAGCACCCACCGGCCGCCTGGACCTCTGGTACCAGCAGCAGGATGTGGACGCCCAGCGGCAGAACATCTCGCTATTCTGGAAGGTGAGATGTTTCGGGGAGACCTGAGCAGATGCGGGGGGATTTGGGAAGGGACTGACCCCAGGGGCATGGACCAGCGCTGTCGATGTGTCTAAGGGGACAGACAACAACCTTACAGATTTTCCAATTTATTTTCTAATTAAAAATATCATTTTCTGCTTTATTGCTGTTTGCGATGGTGGCCATAGATGGTCAGGACGGGTTCTGGGGGGCAGGACCACCCCCTGCCCCATGTTCTCCATGGACCTGGTGGGTCTGGCTCCTGGATCTGAGCTTCCTTCAGAGATTTCTCTGCTCTGCTTTGCTGATACGAAGAGCAGAGCGATGGAGAAATGCTTCCCTGTGCGGGGGGTGAGGCAGTGGCCCAGGGTGCCCAGAGAAGCTGTGGATGCCCCATCCCTGGAGGGGTTCAAGGCCAGGCTGGATGAGGTTTTGGGCAACCTGGGCTGGTGGGAGGTGTCCCTGCCCATGGCCGGGGTGGGACTCGATGGGCTTTAAGGTCCCTTCCCACCCAAACCATCCTGGGATTCTCTGAAGAACGGGGGAGGCAGGAGAAAGTTGTCTCATCACTATGGCACTGCTGGTTTCCTCCAGCGTTTAGAAGAGAAAAAACTGAAACCTGATCATTCTGTACCAAAACCCATCAGCTGGTACGTGCCAGCAAGTCACCCCCTCGCCATAAACAACCTCTGGGCTGTTAGGACAGAAGAGGAAGAGGAGAAGGGTCCCCTCTGTGGTAGAACACTCATTGAAGAGCAGGTGAAATATTCAGTTCACAAACGTCCAACCCCCCCGTCCTTGGGCACCCCTAGCTTTCCGCGGGCTTTGCCCATCAGCGGGAGCAGCGCGTACCAAAGGCTCTGTCCCCGCAGGCTCTGGGCAAGGCGGAGGCGCGAGGGAGAAC